AAGCAGCGGCGATTCCTTTTTTTGCTGACTGAACCTAACCGATTTTGAATCCCTTCGGAAGGACCTTCCTTCTGGGGAAGCCTGAATGTCCTGTGCCACTGAACCCCTGGTTGGTGCTGCATGCGAGGTGCTCAGCCTTGAGCGCAACGCATAGCCTTTGTGTTCAGTCTCATGTTGTTCATCATCCATCGGCTCGGTTTCTGGCATGGCTGAGATATCCAAATCCTCCTTTAGGTCCTTTAGCTCATCTTCTAAGTCTCTAGTATCGATGTCAGATGCATCTGCACCACTCTCTGATGCTTCAGCATCTTCAGTGTTATCTATGTGATGGCGAATAACGGTACCGTTGCCAGCATCCTCGCGGTTCTCATGATAGTCCTCATATTCATCCTCGTCCTCATCGTCATTATACTCCACATTGCCATCCATAATACCAGTTTCAGGCTCATCAACGCCTCTGAGAGCAGAAAGTTCTTTGAGAGAGCGAATTCGCGGAAGAGCCCACTCAGTATCCTCCTCGTGATACCCGACTACATTGTCTTGTGTCGCAAATGTAGTACGTCTTCTCTTCCGTGGAGGGATAGTGATCGCAGGTCTTGAAGAGACCGGTCGTTTCAGGAAAGGCTTTCCAAAGGGTACACCGTCTATGAGGTGCTTGCCATCGGTCGAGATTTGATGTCGCCCGGTCAGTCGCCTAGCTCGTAAGTCGGATATTTGTAGTGCGCGAATCCTTGATTGGTCGGGCGTGAGTAAACGTCACTGTAATGCATGCTTTGTCGGTGCCTAGCAGTATGATAGAGTCCAAATACTCACAAGATTTCGTCGCCATCTCTCAAAAGACCTTCCACCTCCATGAAATGTAGACACTCGGAGCCCCCAACTTCAACTACATAGTCTTCAAGTCCCCATTGCCCACTGAACTCACTGTCAAATAGTGCCGGCTCCGTCTCAAGAGGAACAACCTCATTGACATCTTCCAGGAGCTGAGCAATAGTATAGCCACCATTCGCATAGAGCGCATTAGGCGCGCGTGAAGAGGTAATAGCTGAAGCAAATGCGGGGAGAGCAGACGATGTATTCTGACCGTACAGAGACGGCGATGCCGTCGTCCACAGAATGCGCGTTACGGGTAGACCGTGGCGTTGAATAATGAGGTGGAGACGCATGATGGAGAATGTTTGATTAATGTCTCTTTTTCCTTCGAGATTATTAAAATTAAATCATTGAGATATAGCACTAGTGAGGCAATGTAACATGCAATTGTAATAAATGCTTCTCGTGTGATAGAAGCTCCGTTGACTGATCGCGTCGGGTACTCTCACACTTATGTAGTGGAACAAGCAGCTCGGGCTTTCTGGCAATGGGGAGAAGATGCAGAACCGATAATTTAATTCGCCAGAGACAACTAAATCAGTATGGAGCCAGCGAATCAATCGGGAAGAGCATATCGTGGCAAGAGAAATTGCATGGGGCGCGTGAAGTGGCACGAGAGAAGCTCGACAAAGAGAAGCAGAAGCTCACTTTTCCGAAATATCACCCTAGACCTGATTCGTCCCACTAGTGCCTAAGGCCAACACAAGATTTACCGCAACTTTAAGATTTATTTGTACGGACGGGAAAACAAACAATGAGATTTTCAGCCTAACTGTATTCTACTCCCTTACAGCTTAGTGAGCAAGGTGTATTGCTGCTGCGTCGCTCATGATACCTATACTATCTGGTATATGGATGGAGTTGAGGGTATAATTTAGAGAAGTACATGTATGTAGAATGGCATTACGATTACTATGTAACTTGTACGAGTAGAGATAGGTGGATCGCAAGTGTCCTATCCATAGAGAAGGTATGATATCGAAGACTCACAAGGAAAGACAGAAAAAGAAAAGTGCCCCTAGAAACTCCTGTAGATGCATGACTGAGCCGCGTATCACTTAAGACAGACAACAATGGAGCCAGGGTGTCATTCGATGCTGTTCGGAGCAAGTGCTACCCGTATTAAATTCCTCAAACAGTACTTGGTGTTGTCGCACCTAACGCTTACCCTAGCCCAAACAAAGGACCCTAGGGCTGTTGAAAGTTGGGTTGAATGGTATAAGTTCACGTCCAGGCGTAAAATAAGCCTATTAAAAAAGTGATCTCAGAAGATCAAGCACCTCCGGAGTTTGGACTTCGGGGAACAGGCTTCCTGTTGGGAACACCTAGTTTTAGAGCCCGAACATCTGGCCTGGGTGAACTTGGCTGTGCTTGGCTTCCGGGCGACTGCAGTTGGTGGTCTGCTACAGGCTGATATTGGGGTGGACTGTCTTCCTGGAGAGCCGCGAGTTTGTGAATTTTTAGCACACTTTGTTGCCGTGCGACGGGAGATGTAGGGGGAGACCTGGTCTGTGGTTCAGGAGGAGTAGACGGAAGCATATCGAAAGACTCAGACGAGGAGTTCGCTTCACGGTTGCTGTAGGGCGTCCGGGGCTCAGGATCCTTTCCCGAGTGAACTGGCGTGCTTGGATCAGTTCCAAATTCAATAGGTCTACCGGTGGAGGAGGCAGCTGGTGGGTTATACTCGCGACGGGGGCCATCCACAGGACTCAGAGTTTCAGCCATTGCGTCCTCGTAACTCGGGGGGGCGTCGTCGTAACCATCCTCTGGATTCATAGGCGCGGGAGGTCTAATAGGCCTCGGAGGCATCGGAGGCGGTGCACTGGTTTCCTGGGAAGGTCGGCTTGGCTTGGTAGGGGAAACTGCTGGTTGAATGTGCCCGCCTTCAGCCATGGCGTCCAGAAGCGCCTGAGGCGGGGCGATTCCAGAGTAAACCTTGACAGGCATCCGTAACGGTAGTACAATGAGTTGGGGCTTGTATAATTAGTGGATGCGCATAATGAGGCGAGGAGACTGGACGTACTTTCATATTGCCGACAGTGCCATGGCTCAAACCGACCCGCACTTCTAACTCATATGTCCTCGAGATATTGCAGGTTTCAAAGGTCGGTGCCACCGAGCTCGGGAGAGGTATATGACTCCACATACTAGCATCGATAGTCCACTCAGTGCCGACTGGATCGCCTCCTCTTCCAAGTGGAATGGCCATATTACTGCGGCTGAAGATGACTGAAGTGTTGGTTTCATCCCGTTTTAGATCATGGGCAAGGATTCTGGTATAGCCGATTAATTCAATTTGCAGTGTCTGCAAAAATATCGTTTCATATGATTCCGAAGTTTTACTGACAAGGATACGTAGCGGGATTGGTTCGTTACATGTGAGTATCGAAGGATTTGGTAATCTGATGTCTGCGGATACGCGAGGGGAGTCACTCGAAGAATCTCGGAGAGACGAACTGGAGCCTTTTTGAAACAAACTCTTCATCTTTGATGTACTAGGGCCTTTCGCAAATTGATGTTGACGTCGTGCATATGTTTCTTCACCCGGATTGCCTGTCCTCGGTGGTTCAATGGGAAGGAAGTTTATGTTGGTAAGCTATAATAAAGTCAGCCTTTCAAGCAGATGTACCACAGGTCATTTTACAATGGGGTATATAGGAGTCGGAAGCTTGGTTTGCATCCTTCCACGACCCCGTACATACCGTCCTTATGTTTTCTTTGTAAAACTGCGGCCTAACTACTGTTGCTTTGACGTAATATTTTATGTCTGCCATTTGAGGGAAGCCACTCAATGATGGAGGTAATGTTTTCTTCACATGTCGATGTGTATCGCGAGCTACCTCAACTTTGAGACCACTAATGTTGAGATTGGTGAGCATGCTATTCTGAAAGCTACATGCATTGTTGAAGGGAAACTAGGCCAAAATCAGCACATCTCGCCGTGATAAGGCGTTGCTAATGTCTAGCCTACCTTGAACTGAAACGGATACTCGTAAGTCCCCGCAGCAAAAGTCCAAACGGTATTCGGAGTGTTCTCATTGAAGACAGCCGGTGTTGGGAAGAGATTGAGAACCTTGTATAAGATCTATCCCGTCCATGAGCAACGGTGGAAATGAGAGCAAGAAAAAAGAAAGAAAAGGAGCGCCGTACCTTATGAACCTCAATCTCGGTGCGCTTTTTATCAGATTGCTCATGGTGCGGATGTCGCGGTCCTGAAAGGCGAGTTCGACTTTCTCCCTCTAATTTAACTTGGATTCCACTTATTTGGGTCTCCGAATTCAATTTTACCACAACCTTGCCCGTAAGGAAATCGAGGTTGGTAAAGTGCGTGTGCGGACTGTCGATGTAGAGAGTTGCAGACATTGCGGAAACACCTCGACTGCGAGAGGTCACCACTCTTCCAATGGACCGTCTCAGTAGTTGCAAGATTGAGGTGAAGACAAAAATATAAGCTCAGAATCTTCGGTCGGCAGCTGAAGAGTCTTATCAAGGCTGACCAAATATTGTGTGGAGCTAAAGATAATGATCAAAGGAGTTGGGGCGGAAATCCGGCAAGCCCTACAGACATACGAGGGGGGGAATGACGTTAAAAGTCAGGGACAAGAGCAGCGGGCGTGGGGCAGCGGTTCACCAAAGTCTCGGCGCGTATTAATTACAGCAAAAGAAAGAGAAGGAGAAACAAACAGAAAGACGTAGACCAGACCAGTCCTATTTAATATAGCTCGTCTTAGATCATAAGGTACAATTCGACAGCCTTTATTTAAGGGTCTGATTCATTTCAATGCTTTTATCAATGGGAGGATCGTCCAAGGGTCTGGGTACAATTTAATGGTTCTGGCCCGTCCATTTCATGTCATTGCCGATGGCTCAGCCACTCCCACACACCGTGCATGCTGAAGTGTTGCACCGCCACCTTCCTTGACATATTAAGCGGCCTACTACTAGTACTGTGGACCTCTAACAGCAACCATGGACCGGTGATAGTATATGTCATGACTCCCCTTGAATGATTCTGATTGGGTAGGAACAGTTTCTAGAATGAACTAAGCAGCCCAGATCCGAGCCCTCCGTGGGATATATACTCTAGGCACCAAGATTCTTCAGTAGTTTCTTAGCGCGCAAGAACATTAGAGACCCTCCTTAGCAAGCATGTCTGAGCAATTACATTGTACGGACCGTCAGCCACAGATACCCAAGACACGTTCGAATAGTTGCTACATACCTGCAATGGCAAGGTAGAACGCGATAGCATTGAACCTGAATCGCACACTAACGTCAGCTACCCCAGCCGATCAAACGGGTTTTGGGAAGAGAGGACTACTAGACGGACCTTCGCCTGTTTCCCGTGATCTCGCCAGCCAGCCACTTCAATCTGTTAGTCCAATTAATCAGGTCCAAGTGGTTCACGCCCATGAGGGTTCCCTTGTAGCCATCTTCCCCTCCCCACCTGCTACTGGCAACGCTCACTAGTCCGTCATTATGGCCTTCGACCTGCTCAAGGTACCTATGGGATAGGCGGAATATGGACCAAAAGCTTGGCTGCATGGACGCCCCATAAGAAAAGTATCTACACCGACTCAGCCTTACGCTAACTACACACGGTGATGAGGAACACATACCGGACGTCTTCAACATCAGGAGTGGTAGGATTGAACGTCTTTTCCATGTAATCCCGTGTTAGCTGAGAGAAAGCACCGGTCTCAAACTTTATTTGTTCGAGAGCGTAATATACCTGAGCAAGACGCTCATCTATGAATCAACATCATGAGCTTCCTCGACATGTTTAAGATCGGAGCGCCAAACAAACTAACCGCCAATCTGCTTTAGAATGTAGTCTGCAACTGCCGAGCCTGCAGCTTAATTAGCCAGGCGTAGCTGCTTCATACTCATGCTGCGACTAACCTCTGTGAGGAGTTGCAATAGTCGTCAGAGACAGAACTTTAAAATCATTCGGTTGCAGACGACTGATCATATATCGTGAATCAAGCCCGCTAGAACATGGATCAATATTTTAAGGACTATTCGTTTGACATGAATGTCTCACCCCTAAGGAGCTGTGTGAATGAGCATGCTCTCTTTAAATATTAGTTGGATGGTTTTTACCATGCTATGACTGCGCTGGGTTAGCTCAATAAGTCGAAGGATTTCCAAAACTCGAGGTCGAGAAAGGAAAGGGGGTCTTATAGCATACGCAATAATATTAACAGCCTTTCCTTGAGCACCAGCAGCAATGTCCTTTGCTAGCTCCTCAGCACGTGCTTCGACGGATCCTGAAGGAGGTACTGTAGCGGTGATGACTTCAATACCCTTCACCGACAACGCCTCTTTAATACCGCGCCAATATTGCACACCAGGAAAGTAAGGGCCAGCAAGGCGCAATTCGTCAAACCCAAGAAGCCCATGGGCCAGGACAATGGCGTGCTTTGGAGTATCTAACCAATGAATCAGTGGTTAAGAGCAATTTCTTTGCATGCATAGAGACATAACTATAAGCGCCTGAAACAAGTGGCAACGACTCACCATAGTCTTCTCGAATCACCGCATATTCATCCTGAATAACTTTTCCCAGCCCTTCCAGCCGTGGGTCAGACCCCGTGTCCTCATGGAGATGATTTCTACAGGTTGACGAATGGAACCCGCGAGGAAGTCGATGATTGAGTGGAGGGTACTGGTTCACGCGCTTCGAACCGACAAACCTAGTGTTTGCGCGCAGAGTAGCGACTGCACATCTCATCTTCTATATCTCTAGCTGTTTGTTTGGAATATGATGTTATTTGGGGGGGGGGGGTCATTGCGGGATGATGTAATGGCTGCTGGAACTTAAAATGTGTGCCTCAGGTTAAACAAATTAAGAAATGGATGAGGCGTTACGATTAAAACCTAGCATGAGCGATCAATGTATGAAAACATAAAAATTTAGCATTAACCAGCGTATGCGCTTTGTAATAGGTTACTGACAAGCAGAATGCTGCCAAAGGCCTAGATTATCATTGAAATTGCCTAGGGGAACAGTGTAAACATGGGACTGCCGTAGCCTTCGAGCCAGGAAGACGTCTGGAGCCCTGATTCAAACGTTTATTATAGGAAGTCGTATCCTTTTAGACCCATCCGAGCTCAATGGTATTTGAAGAAGTAGCTCATCTAAATAGAGCCACGACCTAGATCTTGCCTCAGGCCGAAGTAGGCGTTGCCCAGCCTTGACAACAACATCTGCTGGGGTCGGCTTCAATAGAATTAGACGTGGTTGGAATCAAAGTAACGAAGCAAACGCTATATTCACAGCATTTAAAATAGTAGGCCCCAAATAAACATGTCCCCTCAATGCTGCCGGAGAAGCCTTATGACCGCAAGCCTATGCCTTGCTCAGGATCTTTTCGGAAGCCTCAGGCTTCACATCGGTCAGCGCACTGATAAGGTCTTCGACAACCTTAGCGCCCTTGCTGTTTCCAGCATCCTTTATTTCCTGCAGCTTCACTTCTGCCTCCTTGTTTGCATCCTCTTCGGCCTTCTTGTATCCGCTCGAGTGCTAATGTTGAGGAACATGTGTGGTTAGCTAGTAGAGCTCTATAAGTTTACAACACTCATTGAGCGGGGTCATGCTCACCTCAGCCTCGAATTTCTTGAACTCTTGTTCCTTCTGATTTCTGTATTCTTCGATCTCCTTCTGTGCCTCTGACTTCGCATCCCGTATGCGCTTCGTACGGTCTAGGAATTACACATCAGGTCTGCATATCTTATGTCGAGAGGGGTGGAGGGAATCATACACTCTCTAGCTGAACAAGCGCGATGCGTCAGTATATGCATGTCATGTTCCCAAGCTTGTATCAATCCGACAGACCTTGTTGAACAATCTTTTGAGCCTCTCTCTCGGCCTAATACTTGCGTTAAATCATGCAACCCTTGCAATATACCATGACAGCACGACTTACATCGAGGAGGGTCTGAATGCCTGCGGAGTTCTGAGCGGACTGTAACGTATTGTTAGCATTGCCAGCTTTCACGACCACCCATAGTCATGCGCTCACCATCTCTACTAATATATCCTCTCGGCTGATAATGTAAATCGAGAAAAAAGACGGAGGGGAGGAATAGGGACACAGCACAGATAAGGCGGAGGCGTGGAGATGCGCCGATGATCTCCCCGAGGCCGGGTCAGCTGTGGGCGGTCTGTGTTCTGCCACTTATCACCGCCATGGTGATGATCGCCGATAATCCGGTGCAGGTTCTGGATCATGCCAGAGTTCTTTAGATCTGTGGTGCCTGATAATTGGGTTTTTTAAAACAAAAATTTAACTCGCACAATTGGAAACACATAAGAATGTCTCGAGCATCTAAGTTCACACTGGCTGCTACCGGTTTGGGTACGGCGGGAATCATCTACTTCGTTCACTGGGCACAAGAACAAGAAAAAGCTGTATGTACCTTGCTCTGAAACATTGACCGACGCTAACTTTTAGTTATTTCTGAAGTCCATGCATAAGGGGGTTGAGCGAGATATGGAAAAGCAGCGTATTCGACAAGAACGGCAGGCGGAGTTCGAGATTCAGCGAAGACTTGAAGAAGAATACAGGAAACTTCAAACGGTCTCCCCAAGCATAGAAGATCAGATTGGAGGCGAAGCGAAACAAGGGAGGGGGACATAAAGCCCAAAAGCATTATAAAAGTGTTGGATTGAGTTGGATGTTATGCTCTTCACCATAGGCTCTCATCTGGTGAGTCCTAGGTCCTTGGGGGAACATCCACTTTGAAGGGTGGCCATCAAACATAACTAAGCCGAAGATAGTGATAGACGACTGACACTTGTATAATATACCCGAATGTACAGTATATGATATAGAATCCCTGTTCCCGCGCATGCACTCGCATTTACATTGTCATAAAGACGACCTCTGATACCTCTTAGACGCACGAATAATCCTATACTATTAAACGACCTGCTCACGTGGCTGCAATACAGCTAGTCATCAGAATGTGGCTGAATCTAGATGAAAGGCCATGGGACCTTATCATCTGGCAATCTGTCTATTTGAAAGCTTCTTCACCATAGCCTGTTTTTATCCTCTATTTCTATCTTCCGATCGCCTAGCATTCTCACAGGTTACTAAAATAATTTCTATAGAAAATGGCCCAGAATACACATAAAAAGTACCAAGATAACACCAAGCAGTGCAACTATACACAGTGTCGCACATAAAAGATGGCCGGCTATTATCGGAGGCCGGCCCAATTCCGGCCTCATGCAACTAGGAAAGGCTATTTTGCTCTTGATTCGGATTTCCTGGCGAATCAAATAGATCCATGTGGGGTGCCATGTCTTGGCAGAGGGTGAAATATAGAGCGGACAAATCGCTGTACACGTACGTTCATGACTAGTAGACGATGGAAATGCTTTGATTTTGAGGATTTCAAGCTTTATATGAGAAGGCGGGGTATGTCATATACCAATATAGTCCTTCGAAATAGTATACAGATCACGAGTACAAGAAAGAGCATCATTGTTGCATAGTAAAGTCACTACTACATTCGGCTTAGCGTGTCCCCGTGATTCTATCTTGCCCTCCATGCCAAGAATCTATATAGATCTCTTGTATATATCTTCAAGGATGAAGATAGAGATAGAGGGGATGGTGTCCTCATCAGCTATTGCGAGGAGGCCTCAATAATTCATATAGAGATGCTTATCAGCTATGATATCACGGTGATACCGGCCAGAATCCAGTCTCCACGGGGTTTTCTCATCCTTTTGGTAATAGTGCCATCGAGGCCGGAATTGATACCGGCCTCTGGATGTTATAAGAATCGCCTCCTTTCCCGCCCAAATCCATTCACTCAGTTGCTATTCTCGAGCCATAGGAGGCCGCAAATCCTTTTCTAATCCGCCCCCGTTTCCTTTATCATTTTCATATCATCTTTGGATCGGCTCTCTGCCTCAATAAGCGTCTTCCATTCTGCTCTTTGATACCATCTTGTCTCCCATACAATTACTCCTAGATAGACTTTGTCTTTCCCCCTTCTGTCCTTTTCAAAATGACACAGACCAAGGTCCCCCCAATGTCTTCCACTACCGTGAAGCGTTTCCCTCATATCCATGATGACCCGGCAACCTTGCCTAAGTCCTTGGACCCCTTCACTATCACCACTTCTACCGGCTTCTTGCCCTTCATAATGTCCCCTACTCAGCTGCCTGATGCCTTCCAACCTCTGGCATCCTTGCTTGAACGTCTTCCTGTGGAGAAGCTTGATGGTACCCCTGGTCTTCTGGCTACCTATGAACTGGGTCCTGCCGTCCAGGAGCTTCCTGACCTCACTGCCGAAGTTGACAAGCTGGTCACTGCTGACGGTTCCCCGGACCTCTATGCTGTCACTGCCGTTTTCCGTGATTACTCCTTCCTAGCATCTTCTTACCTGCTTGAGCCATGCTGGGAGAACTGGTGCAAGAACCCTGACAAGGGGTATGGCCTGGGACGTGACGTGCTTCCTAGGGCTGTGGCTTGCCCAATGTATCGTTGTGCTCAACTGTATGTCACAACAACCAAGCAATCATGCCTTCCTTCCTTCTATAAAAAGGTATCGCGCAAGGTCATACTAATCAATCATCGCTAGGTTGGACATCCCACCTTTCATGTCCTACGCTGCCGCATACTCTCTTTTCAACTACACCCTTGCCGATCCAAAGAAGGGTCTAGTATATGACAACCTCCGTCTTGTCCGGGCATTCGAACATGGCCTTAACCCCAAGTCCTCCGAGGCCGGGTTCATCCTAACCCATATCGACATGGTCAAGGAGTCCAATGGACTGATCAGCGGAGCCCTGAAGGTCGTCGACACCATTGAACAAGGCGGCTCCCGTACCGAAGTCAATGACGGCTTCAGAGAGATCCTATCATCCATGGAGAAGATTGAAGCCTGTATGGAAGGTAAGCAACTCTTCTGATACCCCACCGACCCCCAAAACCCAACCCAAACACTAACTACATCCCAGACATGTGGGCCAACTCTAAGCCCAGCGAGTACCTCTCCTTCCGGGTCTTCATCTTCGGAATCACCAACCAATCCATGTTCCCGAACGGCGTGATCTACGACGGCGTCCTCGATAACAAGCCCCTCAACTTCCGCGGTGAAAGTGGCGCCAACGACAGCATGGTATGAGAGCACCCATCACCCCGCCCCATCCAACCCCAAAGGCTAATCCACCCAGATCCCCCTCCTTGACCACCTCTGCCAGATCCCCATGCCCTCCACCCCACTCACCAAGATCCTGCACGAGTTCCGCGCCTACCGCCCCCTCCCTCACCGCGAGTTCCTGGCCTACATGAACTCCAAGGCTGCGGAGGTTGGCGTCCGCGACTTCGTTGTCAAGGATACCGAGACCGCCATCCTCTTCCTGAAGACCCTGAACCATGTGCGGAGCTTCCGCTGGCGTCATTGGCTGTTTGCCCGCGAGTATATCATTCGTCGTACACCTCACCCTACTGCTACCGGTGGTAGCCCTATTGTTACGGTATATTTCCTTTCTAGGTTGTTATTAAGTATTGATTTGTGGCTAATGAGTGGTTACAGTGGCTTCCTAACCAGCTGTCGGCCGTTATGGATATGATGGTCTCAATCTACGATACATATCTTGCTCCACAGAAGGAGCCGGAGTATTCGGCTAATGGCCTGACTGGATATGATGCTTCTTTCCAGAAACAGGTTGAGCCGATGATGGAGATGGTGCGTGATCAGAAGGATAAGTTGGCCAAGGAAGTCGAGAAGTGGTGCCAGGAGAGGGGTAACGGTTTCTGAGAACCGTGCCTGTTATGAAAATGAATACTGTTTGAATTTGATGTTTCTGTATATTCTTGAACATACTAGCGAGGCCTGGAATAATTCAAGTACAACATGATTTCGATTTCCTACATTAACTGACAAGAATACCTAAATCCACATTTCTATTCATTGATCCAAATCCAATTTCGCTAAAGTTCACTTGAATAACACGTGTCGTATTGTATCGTGTGTTCATGTAGGAGTAGGTGTATTGTTTGATTTCTCAGAACACTTGGTCAGATCAGCCGAATATACTCAGCTGCACGGCAAAGGCCCCGCTCATTGAGGCAAAGCTGCTGACATCAGGATACCACCATCCTTCAGGAAATGCCTTCTTAAGTAGTCCTCTTGGTGTGTCATCCAGTTAAGTGATTATATCAATGCCGTGTGCCCGACCATATGTGATTGCGTCAGGTGAGACATGCTCACACCCTTTGACATGTAGTCGCTCGATTTTCATGACATTGCCTTCAGAGGCTCGAGCATCAGCGAATGTCTTGATGGATATGCCGGTAATATCGGTATAAGACATGTAAATGACTTTCAATTTGTGCATCCTCTCTACAATCAGGTTCGAGAAGTCATCATTGATCCCGATAACATGGGAGACGTTGAGTTCTGTTAAATCATTGGCATGTTGGCATAAACTATGCCAGAATGCAGTCCCGCGCAATCGGAAACAGCTGTCTACATGAAGTACCTCAAGCGGGGCTTTGGCTTCAACGAGAAAGATAAGCATGGTGTTGTTCGATACCCAAGGCACATCCCTGAACATGAGGGTCTTGAGTTTGTGGAACTCAACAGGACGCTGGTTAGAAAATGGGAAATCCTCAGTCGCAGCACCACCGCAGATGCGTAGGTATTCGAGGCTAGGTGGTAGAGTAAAATCGTCACTGATGTATATGCCGCTGAGGTCCAGTCGCCGTAGTCGCGCAAAGTCTATTGGGTTAAAAGAAGGAGGGTAAGGGAAAAAGACGTCTGGATCTGAGTTAAGGCACAGCTCTTCAAGATTGGCAATGGAATAGGGAAGAGAAGGCTGAAACAGTCAGTTAGCTGAGCTTTCAAAGGGGGGGCGTATAGCAGGGTGGCAGTACTTGTTTACGAGGGATATGCAGGGCAGACGTATGCCCGTTTAACCACGATCCCTCTGTGGTGCCGAGGATTATACTCCGTAGATGTGGCAGCTCTGAGGGCCATTGCACCTTTGATGAAGGTGAAGTTCTGGCTTTGTATATTTTGATATTCTCAAGGAGAGGCAAGCTTCCCAGGAACTTGGTAATATACTCTTGCGGTACTGGCATATCTCTAGATATTATCAGCGTTTTCAAACGTCGGGAGCCTTTGTACATCTCATAAAAATTCTGACAGCTAAACGGCGTCCAGAC